GCCCTACGGGCTCTCAATTACCATTTAAAAAATAAGACTTCAGAACCAGAAGGAATGCACCCACGGCCTACAAATTTCACACTAAAGACCCTTGGTGTGATGCAAGGCTTCTTCCTGTCAGGGTAAGGTGTTGTCGGGGAGAGACCTTTGCCTTACCTACCTGTCTACCCCTGTGGCTGGTTCTCATCTTCTCTGGAACATAAACCAATCTGTCAATCACTGGGGAACTCATTAGCTTGGATTCCTAGAAATGTAACTCCCGGGTTGAAACCTTTCATAGGTTCCCACTGCCAGCTGACTTTCGGCACGGTAAACCTTCTCCGTCACACCACTGTTTTGGGGCTCAGCAGTGCCCACCTCCATGCTGCACACCGGCACACAGGCTGCTTCCGGTAACAGCTGACCCCAGCCCACACTGCGGCCAAGGGCCTGGATTTCTGTGTCATCCCCGCTTATCTGTGTAATAACAGCACCTCAGATTAGCTAGGTGGGAATCTTTGTGTTTCTGTAATCTATTCAATGAGCTCTTCACCCATCAGCACCTAATATGTTCCCCTGAAACTTATCAGAATGGGGATGAGCGTGCCTGAAAAGCAGTTTAGGAACACTGCTGACTGCAGGCATCCAGAGTGTAATGTTCTCAGACCTCCTCCCACCTGGGGTCATCCAGTCATCTCCTACCTCCCACCCCAGGTCCCTCGGCCCCCACCCAACACAGAGGTTGATCTGCCCCACCTGGTGCTTCCGGAGTGCAGCTGGCTCTTGCCAGACCCGTGCCTTGAATAAGTCTTTCTAGACTTTTCACTTAGCTGAAGCTAAACTCAGAAGTTGGTGATGTGCAAAAGCCATACTTTGTTACTCCGAAAACCGGTACTTTCTTTTTAATGTTGAGTTGTCTAGACCCTACTTCCCAGGACTCTTCAGAGGAGTTCGGTGGAGGATACCGAGTCCCTGGAACCAAGAAGCAAGGCCACTGCCAGCCCCAGCAGCGGAGTATAGAGCACTACATTCTTTCTCCTCTGCCGCATCCCCAGTACTAACAAGGAGAATGTCCTCCACTAACACGTAATGCATGGGGGAGGGCACAGTGGGGAGAAGAGACAGACAGACAGAGGGATAGAGGGATGGATGGATGGATGGACAGATGGACAGACAGGCAGGCAAACAGGACAGAAGAGCAAACTCAAATCCCAGAGCCACGAAGGAATCTCTCAGAATCTTTTTCTCTTCGTGGGTCTGATCAATTTTACTTGTCCAGCCAAAGACCACTCTCTGGTCAATAGTTTTCTGATGTCATGGCACGGCCATCCACTCCAACTTGTTGAATTCTCGCCTTGGAAATCCTGTAGCTAAGCTGCGAAGCTGGAGATTAAATCAGCCCTCCTTTGATGTGAAGAGTCCACACACGCCCAGGCCTTTCCTTCAGGAATACCTGGTGCCATGTGTCACGCACAAGTTGACAACTGCAGGCTCTTCGGGACAGCGGGGCCCAAGGGGCCTGGGCTAGCAGCATGACGGAGCCCATGAGCGTCACAGTGCAGTCCTCAGAGGCCCCGAGGGGCTCGCCACCCGCTCTCTTGGACCAGCCTCCAGCCGCTGCTCAGCCTTCTACACGACACACAGCTTCCAGAAACTGTGACACTTCAGATGTCACAGACACATGTCAGATAAACTCGTTTCTCAAATGTCTTGAAAATTACTGGAAAATTACCGGTTCCCCCACTCCTCTCCAGACTTGGGAAGGATGGGTCACCGGTCAAAGGCTCACTGTGGCAACACGTTTCACACAGATGCATGCAAGTATGAGTGCTTTTCCGAGGGTGGCCGAGCTGACAAGGAGCACGGAAATCCTCTGGAAGCGGAAGCAAGCCTGCCCTCGCCGAGGTTCGCGGTGCTGCAGCTCCCACTCAGCCGAAGTCCTCCCGCCAGGGGATGCCTGCGCCTGCCTCCCCAGGGACCCAGCCTGTCTGCAGCACACGACCAGCGCCCTCTGTGAGGCCCTTCCATGGCTGTAACTGAGCCTTCTAGAAATATCTCGCCACCTCAAAGGACCCTCACGCTTGGAGAGACCACTGCTCTGTGTGGTAGCAGGGGCCATCCTGGTGGCCTTTGGAGTAAGAGAGGGTGTCCTGCTTCTCACACCCTGAGGCCGAGGTCACGCGTACCTGACCACCACATCCTGAGGCCGAGGTCACGCGTACCTGACCACCACATCCTGAGGCCGAGGTCATGGGGCTGCACATGTGGTGCAACAGAAAGCACTCTCTCCAAGGGAAGAAAAACAGACAGGGAGCAGGGCCAACTCCTACTCCGGGAACTTCTGACCAAAGGCACCGAGAGGTAATAACTTTGGAAGCGCCGTCTGCAGCCTCTTTGCAGCCCCTGCTACAGCCTCTCCACAGAGCAGAGGGGAACCCTGATGGGAGCCGGCCCTCCGAGAAGCCCGGTGCAGACAGGAGGTGCAGGAGCAGTGCTCTAAGACCCTACGTGACAGCAGCACAGTAAAGAAATGGAACACCCACGGGAGGCGGGGCGGCTGGCGGGCGACTGGAAGCCGCCCTAAGGAGGAAGACAGACGTGGCCGTGGCGGTGTGCTAACGGGACCAGCACGCACCGCCACCACCCGCAAGCTTGGTCTCCCCAGACAGCAGAGACTGAAAGCCGGCTCTGCAGCACCAGCTCACAGCTGCCTGGCCCACGTGTGACAGGGAAGGGAGGGGTCCCCCGCAAGGGAAGTCAGGTGTGCTACTCTGTCAGCCGTCGTCCTGACATCCTGCTCCGTGCTTGGGGAGAGAGGCGAGAGAATTTCAAGGTCTAAATTTTTCTGAAATGGCACCAAGTCTGCTCTAGCTCGGACTTAAGGGAAGGCGGTGGCGGTGTGGCATCTTCGAGGAAGACCGGGGCAGACCCCAGGTGACCCCCGCCCTGCCCTCCTCTCACAGGGCTCCCTACGCGGCGGCCAGTCTCGAGCCTGGATGGTAGAACGGGGCAGGGGAGCAGCTGTGTGGTTGAGCATTTGCCTAGCACATTCCAAGGCCCTGCACTCCATCCTCAGTACTGGAAAGAAAAGAAAAAAAATTTAGAAATGAAGATGAGATGAGACTAGAGCCATCACGGAAGTTCACACAGCACTAAAAAAAAACATGAACATACATCGCTCGGCTAGGCCATCACCAGTGGAACGGAACACCACCTCTGTGAAGCAGGCTCGAGCTTGGATGAGAGACCCACGCTCACCCGGCTTAGCCCTCGGGTAAAGGGCTTGGTAGCTCAGTTAAATACCCCAATGGCAGGGCAGACAGCGCCTCCTTCTCCAGAGGGTGCTGGCGCGTCTCACTCACACCGCCCACGCGCTTGTGACCAGACACCTCACCAGTCCCTTCGCAAGCTAATGGCTGCTCTTCCTGTTCATGAGCAGCACTGACGGTCAGGACTCCCGAATTTCCACACCGACGGGCGTCGTCGGGTCATGGCCACCCCAGAGCCCAGGCCCTTTGGACCAGCTGTAGGTGTGCGTGGATGCCATACACCTGGAGGTGACCTGCGGGGGCTGTCTGTGCTATTTCAACCTGGACCTCTGACACAGCTCTCTTTGTTGCTCAGGGGGTAAAAGATAGAGAAGTCAGGACAAGCAGGAAAGCCGGGGAGGGGGCAACACTGAGGTACAGGGAGAGCGAGTCTATCATGCATAAAACGGCTCCCTGGGCACATCTTAGCGTCCGCCACATTTCTCCCACCTGCATTTCAAGTTCTGCCAATTTGGCTGATGCAACAAAAATGTCTAGTCCTCGCGAGAGATTCATCTTAAATCTCGAGGGCTTCTATTCACAACGGTTAAATAGAAACTCGTTATCCTGAAGTCAGGTGTGGTGGTGCATACCTGTAGTCCCAGCACTCATTAGGGGCAGAGGCAGGAGGACTGCCACAAGTTCAAGGCCAGCCTGGACTACATAGTGTGACCCTGTCTCAAAAAGCAAAACAAGGGGCTGGGGACTTAGCTCAGTGGCACAGCGCCTGCCTGGCAAGCGCAAAGTCGTGAGTTCGATTCCCGGTACCAGAAAAAAAAAAAAAACAAGGCGTAAATTCAATATCTCATGATGCAGCCTCTTCTGCTGTCCAGAAGAATACCCCTCACAATGTCAATCCAAAATGTGACAGCCCTGGCATCACCACTTAGGGATTGGGGTGATCATAGCAGTGGAGGGGACAATCGTTTGACTCTAAAACTCCTTACCCTGAGCTGTCATTTTTAGATGAGCACCTCACTCAAAAATTATAAAAGCTCTCGAAGGCACTGAGAGATGTCCTCGGAAGTGCGAGTGTAGCTCAGTGGTAGAGTGTGTGCCTAATAGGGGTAAGCCTCAGGCTCCATCCCCAGTACTAAAGAAAAAAAGAAGGGAAGAAAAGAAAACTCATCTCAAACATCTGACAGACAGGCAGCTGCTCTGGCACCAGCTGCCTCAGCCCCGAGAGACTCCCTGGAACAGTTTCCCATCCTCCTTCTCAAGGGAGGGCAGTTGCCCCGCCAAGTTCTAACAGACGGAATGAGCTCAGGTGGGGGCGTGCTGTGTCCCCGTCCACGCGTGGCTCACAAAACCCTCCAGGGCACAGAGCTCCTGCGACCCTCAGGGCTCCTCCCCACTCAGCTCGACCGTGGACAGCTCAGCCCAAGCATGAAAGGCGCCCCTCCTGCACAGGGACCCCTCTCTGGAACTTCAAGCGAAGGGGCGATGAGCACCTGAGACATGGGGGATCGTCTGTTACTCTCTTACAACAGCCTCCTAGGGAGCACAAGCTGCACTCTTCACCCCGGGTCAGTCTATGTTCCTGCCCAACTCAGAGTCAGCTGTCCGCTCACCTTTCTTATTTTATGCAGAGTAGATAGATGGTTCTTGGCTTGCTCTGCAGCAGGACACAGGTCTGACATCAGGGGCCTCCCCTATCCGGGAAGTGCCCTGCCCTATGTGTTCTACGGAGAGTCACCACTGAAAGAAGCAAAGCTGCTAGGAGGTTTCTACACAGAAGATCGCGGTGTCCCATCCCATGGAAGTGACATCCCTGGCACGTACCACGGGGTCCACCGGGCAGCATGTTAACCTAGAGTCCCACAGCCCCTTAGCTGGTCTCCCCCAGAGCCTGCGGGTCTGACTCAGGGCTTCCTCGTGCTAATTCAACATGGAAAGACAAGCAATTCCCTCCCAGTGGAGCCGATCTCTGGTTCCAGGGATTAAGACCCTGCATGCAGACTGTTTATCCCAGAGCAGAGAATGTTGACAAGCTACTCTAGGGTAAACAGGGGCACCCCTCTGTGGGTTCAGGCTGCAGACTCCTTGGAAGCCAGCGTGTAAGCACCGGCATATCCAAGGAATAAACACCAGCTGCGGACTCTCAGAAGACGTCCCCACAGGCAGACACACAGCCACGACCACGCCACATGACCGGGAAGTGGGAAGACCGCTGGCAATGTGCTCTCTTCTCTCCGGCCCCTCTTCCTCTCATTACCTAAGCAGGGAGAAATGCAACTGTCCTTCCAGACTCTTCCCCGTCGTCTCCCCTTGCCTCCAAGGACTGTGTCCACGGCTTCACCACCTGCAGCGGAAGCAGCTCCCGTCTTCCCGCGACCTCGGTGAGCCTGCGGGGCTGACTCCATGACGCTCAGAACCACCCCTATTTTGCACGGTGAAAGCTGCTCGGGAACGCAGTGGCCTCTTTATGGCCGGGGCAGCCATCTTTCTGCTCACGCTGGACCTCCTCTACAACACAGCCACAGGGGAAGGGCAGCCCACATCGTGGGCTCTGTCACCTACTTCCTTTGATGAGATAATCGGTTTTCTCTAGGAGGCAGACTGGAGGACAGAGAAGAACCACATGTGTGTCTGGGCTCAGATACCAGGGAACCCATTTAGACACAGCACAGTGGGAAAGATAAGCACTGTCACACGAAGCGTGTTTGCAAGCCACGTTTCATCAGCGAGTTGCTCGGTTTCTGCCCGTCCTTCCAAAGGAAAGCAAACAGGGCTACGCTCAGACGGATGTCCGCGACGATCTCATCGCACAGCTCCCACCAAAGGTACGGCAGAGCACCCCTGGAGATGTTTCGGGTCTTGCTTGGCAGGACTAGAGGTTAGGTCACACCAAGAGTGTTTTCAGTCTCTCCCACCACCACAAAGCCACTAAGATAACTGAGCCTTCGGTGACACATGAAAAGATACAGCCTGTGCGTGCAGCGCAGAGGGAGACTGCGTGTTGAGCATGTGCAAGGCCCTGTGTTCACTCCCCAGCTCCGAAGAACAGCAAGAAAAAGGTAGGACACTCCGTAGGGTCCTTCCAACTTAAAGGGAACCCTTGCACCCGTGGTCATCTGTACTCCTTGGACATCAGTCTCCTCCTCCGCAGCAAGAAGAAGCCGCTTTCTTAAGTCTGGTCCAGCTGCCTCTCTCCACAGACCCCGGGTACTGCTGCAAAGCTGAGACCAAACCCTAGGTCCCTCCCACAAGCCGCACTTCACCAAGTCCCCAGGGCTGTCCAGCCCTTGCCCTGTCCAGCACACCTGGCTCGGCCACAGGGATGTCATCAAGTCCACAGCCTGGGGCTGCACCTGGTATCTGCAAAACAAACTGATCTTCTTCCCAGACTGTGAGGTGGCTACATCTCCAAGGGCTTCCAGGGCTCTTCCCCGGAAAAGCGAAGACATATCTACATGTCCCTCACAGCCTGGGTCTTCTGCTGCTGTTGTCACTTCTGAAATAGAAGGACCTGGAAAAGCAGCAGTCAGGGCCCCGCTGATTCTCGCAGGCTGGCCTGGACACCTGAGGTGGTCACTGTCTAGGATAGTGGCCGGTCGCTGTGGGTGCCGGGTGGCAGCTGTGAAGATAAATGGAGGTGGGCCCCCAGCCCGGGCTCCACTGTCCGCTGGAGTCTCAGCAAATTTGAGACCCAAATGCTCATCCAAATGCCTCATGCTGTGGCAAGGCTGTCCTGGATCCACAGGGACAGTCCAGCCAGCCTAGTGTGGCATGCTCTCTGGGACCTCTGAGGGCAGGCTTGCCTCCGTCTCAGGACTCTTCTGGTCACTGCTAATGCGCACAGTAAGAGAGGGTGGGCGCAGAAGGCCCTGAGCCTCCTGCTTCTTTGTACAGCCTCTCCACCGAGGGACCCAATCCTGCATGATGCACAGGCAGCAACTGAAAGGATAAATCCTAGTGCCAGGCAGGCCGCACACAGCACGTGAGACCCACTGCACAGACAGGCACCTTCGGATGACCCTCCTCTGCAAGGCGTGGTGAAAACAGGAACGTGATCCCGCTGCACCCAGAAACCTACCCTGGGGCTCCATGCTGACACAGACAAAGGAACGATTTGAGGAAACCTTGTACCTCTAGTAAAATAACCACTGCGCAGGCTAAGCAGCAATGCAGAAAAAGCGTATGATAATTTCTATCAAACTCTGCATTAAGGCTGACCATACACAGAGAACAGGTTGGCAGTAAATGAAAATAATGAATACAGACCATCTGTTTGGTCAGTAGAGACCGGAGGAGACATTTCAAAGGATAACTTCCCATGACGCAATAACATATGTGAGTATCACTATTTGTGATTGAATTGAGGAGACACTGTCCCTGAAAGACTTCAGGAGCCAGCGAGACAGGGGAGGCAGATTTCTGATCAGCCACGTGGGCAGAAGAAAAGCTCCACAGGCACAGGGAGGTGGGGACGCGAAAAAGCACTGTGGCTCCAACTTTTTGACATTTACAGAAGTGCTGCTTGAATTATGCCCTGGAACGCAAGAAAGGCATTCTACCCAAAAAAGGGGATGAGGTGGGCGGGGATAGTTTTTCCGCTAACCTCAGAGTTTCCCTGAAACACAACCGTGACACAGTCTGAAAACCAAGTGGGGACACACATTTCTGCACAACTTACCTGCCTGACTCTGTAAGATGAGAGCATGTTTACAAGTTCAAAACTCCCTTCAGGCAGCCTTTGGTGCAGTGTGGAGGTGTGCCCGACTACATCGCTTCCACTGGTTGGGGGAAAGGACAGATTTCGGGTAACTTATGCAAAAGATCATCTAATAGTAAATTACACTCAGGGGCGGGCGGGGGGAGGGAGCTACTGCAGGTAAAAGCAGAAGGCTGGTCCCTCCGAGGAGGCAGAGCGTGGGACATCGTCATCCGGTGGGAAAAGGCGCGGAGGCTGACAGAATTGCCGGGTAGCCCATCTCGATCCAGCCCAAGAGATCAGGACTGCTGGACTTCGCTCTCCAATTATTCCAACCCACCAAACTTGCCTTGACACTTCTCCTTCAAGGGGAAAGAAAAAAGACCTGCCTCCCAGACTCACTCTACTGGGCAGGTTTCCCAAAGTGAAGTTCAAAGGGTTTGCCTACCACTATTCTTTAGAATTTGCCCCCAAGCCAGTCTTAAAAGATGACAGGAGAATAAAAGAGTAAGAATGGCTGCAGGTAGCAGGCAGCAGACAAATGGGTTCAGAGTAGGAGGCCCTCGGCCCATTCATGGTTTTTCCTGCAGTCATTCCCAATTAGACAGCTTAATTACAGACTTCAGCTGTTTATGGACTAGAGCAGCCAGTAAACAACCAGGAAACGCAACTCCATCCAAGTCTCTAATTAAGCTGGGGCTGCTGGTGGGGGAAAATGGTACTGGGTGAGTTTAGGATTTCCTTCTTCCTGAGTTCTGAGATGAGGACTTGTGCTCTGGGAGGAAATGCACAGCTCATTCCCTTTCTGGAACAACATCCTTCTGCCCTGCCCTGGCCGGCCTCTGGGGAACCCTGAACTTTGAGGGAAGGAGCAGCACCTTCCCTCCTGGCCTGGGGCCATCATGGCCATTAGCAATCATTTTTCTTCCCTAACCACCAAGTAGAGCAGCCAGGATCTAGGGAACGGAGCCAGTCTGAATCAACAGAGAGTGGGTATCATGTCTCAGGCCCGCACCACACACGGCCCGTCTCTCTCCGGGAAGGTGGTTGGGAACAGCAGCGTGAGTCTCTGGACACATCGACGGCACCGGGGACTGATGGTGTCCCAGGCATCTGAGATGAAGAAACTGCCCTAGAGGCTGAGGCCCACCTACTAAGGGGAAATAGAAACGAGGGGAGAGGAGCGGAGGTGCAGCCTGCAGGCTGTTTCTCAGCAACGGTGGGTCTCTGAATCCCCAATCAGACAAATCACAATTCTGAAACTGCTGATTTCCCAAAAGGGAAAAGATCTATTCCCAATGACATCATCAATTCCTGGATTCCTCTGGACCTTGAAGGTAATCCAAAAAAGTCGTCCCAGAACAGCTTAACTTTCCTGAAGAGGCTTGTCTCAAGCTCTAAGGAGATAAAGGGACGGCTCAGCTCGCTGGAGGCTGGATCTTACCATTCACATCCAACCAGATAAAATGCAGCAAGCTGAGCTCCGCCACCTTGAAGAGCAAGAAAGGCGCTGTGCGGCTTGGCAAGCAGGCTGTGCCTCTCCCATGCTGAGCAGGCAGCAGACAGCCTGACCAATGAAGGCAGAGAGGGCCTGTGGCGATGGGAACAAGCCCCACCCATCGTGAGGTCACCCACTCCTTTCCCCAGCTGCTCCTCCGCCACCACAGCCGCCAGGCCAGCAGTTGCCCAGCAACAGTGGCTGGAGAAATAAACTCCCTTGCTAGGCTCTTCTTCCTCTGCCCACCCTGGAAATACTGGGATTTCCCGGGGTTCTGGCCCAGGTGGGCGGCTCTCAAGCCACACAATCACCCTGGGTGAGCTCACTCGTGTCCACAGCTGCTTTCCGACTTCCCACGACCTTTGCAGGGCGCCCCATTCACCCCTGGGCTCAAGCGCTGTTCACCCTCACGGGCCTGCTCAGCACCCACAGGACTCACATGTAACAAATAAATGCACGCCCACACTACACCCCTGCAGTCCTCGCCTTATCTCCAGCGCCATTATCATCAGTTCTTGAGGCTCCTCCACGTGGGCCTCTGAGAACCCCATCAGCTCCCAGGCTCACAGGGCTCCCTGGCCTCCACCCAGGCTGCGGTTACCATTACCTCAAAGCCTCCGGCACCCAGGGCGCCCTGGGCCTGGGCATCTGAAGAACTGCCTGCCCATCCCAGTGGAGGGGGGGGTCTCAGCATCTGCGGGGTGAGGCCAAGGATGCCGCGTCACTCTCCGTGCACAGGGGAGCCCTCAGGACCGAGTTATCAGGACCAGGTCAACCTCACTGCAGGCAAAGCCCCGAGACCAGCACCAGTGTCGCCCAGGAGTAGCGACGGCACTCGCCTGCTCTCTCCTCTCTGAGTCTCCGCTTTCCCAGACAGGAAACACTCATCTGGCTCTCAGACCCATGTTTTCCCTCCCAGATTCTGGAGCACGAAGCCAGTGACTTATGATGTCCCCCCTCACTGGCAGACACCACGAATGCTGAGGCGATTTTTCTTCTTCTATCTATACATTTATACTGTTAGGGGAAGAGGTGTTGGTTTTTTTGTTTTTTTTTCAAAACTGAGATGTATTCAATCTGCTGTTTGGTAACTTGTCGT